TGTATTACTCAGTACCAAACCTAACTTATAAATAACTCTTCTATTATTCTTCTCCTATGTTTAGCTTTAAACCCCGCTAACCTGCTTCCCATTTCTCCTGAGCCCCTAGAACACGCCTGCCTAGGAATCTTGGAGGAATCCACTGCAGTAAGACCAGACCTCTCTAATTCCCAACTACCTTGCCCAGATCATAGTTGTTACATTGATGGGAGTAGCTATGTTTGAGATGGCTATCACAAGGCAGGATACACTATTGTCACCACTACTCATATAGCAGAGAGTGCTCCTCTACCATCTGGCACCTCTGCTCAAAAGGCAAAGCTAATCGCCCTGTTTCAGGCCTTACAATTAGGTAAAGATCAAAGAATAAACATCTACACTGACTCTAAGTATGCCTATCATATTCTACACTCTCATGCAGCCATCTGGAAAGAACAAGGACTTCTCACTGCACAAGGCACTTCTGTCAAACATGCTAATCTCATCCTACAACTCATACAGGCAGCTCAGTTACCTCAACAAATAGCTGTTATCCACTGCAAGGCTGCCCCTTTCAGTCTCCCGTTATCCATGGAGAATACTTTCCAAGACCCCCAAGTGGATACCTGAAACCATAGATAGTACAAACACTATATATACTGTTTTTTCATACACATACATACCTATGATTAAGTTTAATTTATAAATTAGACATAGTAAGAGATTAACAATAAATAATAAAACAATTATAATATATTTTAATAAAAGTTATGTGACTGCCTTTCTGTCTCTGTCTCTCTCAAAATTCATGTTCAAGTTTAATTGCAATTGTGACAAGAGGTAGGATCTTTAAGATGTGATTAGCTCACAAGGGCTCTGCCCTCATGAATGGATTAATGCCATTATCACAGGAGTGGCTTCCTGATAAAAGGATGAAATTTGACCCCCATCCTTTCTCTGTCTTGCACATTGTCTTAACATATGATGCTTTCAGGCATATTAAGACACAGTAAGAAGGTCCTCACCAGATGCAGCCCTTCAATCTTGGACTTCCCAGCCTCCAGAGCTCTGAACCTAATAAATCTCTTTTCTTTAGAAACTACCCAGCCTGTGGTATTCTGTTATGGTAACATAAAATGGAGTATATTTTAGGTTAGGGTAATTGTAGGTCATCCAGGTGGAGATGTCCAGAATTCAGGAGGATATATATAGAAATAGATAGAGATGCTTTAAGGTATCTGAGGCAAAATGCCCTTTGGAGAAACAACAACTGTTAGGAAGCTCAGGAGAAAAATTGAAGATAGAGTTACAGTTTGTGGCAGTTTGGGGAGTTATCTGCCTCTAAAAAGGCGATTAAAGTCATTGGAACAAATAAGACTGCTCAGAAAGAAACTTCAGAGCAAGAGGAGAAGGCAAAAGACAAAACCTTGGGGAATACCAACATTTTAGGAGCAGGCAGAGGAGGAGTAACTAATAGAGACTGAGGTAAACTGATCAAAGAGAAACAGAAGAACCTAAGAAGACTGATGATATGGCAATAAGGCAAGCGGGGTTCAAAGAAGGAAGAGGTTTCAAGAGTGAAATGACACAGATCAAGGGTAGTAAGCACTGAAAAGAGACCTTGGCAAAATAGGTGCTTGTGGAAGGAATGAAAAGTGAAGTAATTTACTTCTCTAGTTTCTGTCAACCATAGTCTGGTTCTTTGAGTGGCAGTATTAATGGAAGCTCAGCATTTGATCTCAAGGCCATATCAGAAGAAAGAGAACAAGTGGTTTGAGGAGAAGGAAAGAGAAGTTGTATTACTTTGCCTTCAAAGGAGGAAAAACCTTTAAGAAGACTGTTAGTCATGAGAGGTCCACCCTCATGAATGGAATTCATGGTGTTATCATGGAAGTGGTTAGTTATCACAAGACTGAGTTTGTTTTAAAAGCAAGTTCACCCAATTTCTTTGCTGTGTCTTGTGGGCTTATTTCTGCCTTCTACACTTCTGCTAAGGATGGCCTTCACTAGATGCCAGCACCATGCTCTTGGATTTGCCAGCCTCCTGGACTGTGAGAAATATGTTTCTTTTCTTTATAAATTACCCAGTGAAGAGTATTCTGTCATAGCAGCAGAAAATAGACTAAGACAACTGTTAATAAAGTATTGTATTAAATTAGTTGTCAGGAGAACAAGAGCAATGCTGACTTTGCTACTAGTTAGCTTTATAAATTATGTTGTAATTGTAAAGCCAGTAGTATATAAATGTGAGATACTGTAGTTGGTATCTTTGAATTATGAAGCAATGTTAGAGAGTTCCAGGTGTGAATATAATTAACAATATAATTAATAATTAATAACTATTAATGATATAATACATAATATAACAATATATAATATAACAAACAATAACTATAACTATATGATATGATATATAATAATATATAACTATATAATATATAATAATTAATAACTATAGATGTGAATATAATTAAGTGGTCTTCCCCTGTTCAGATAGTTGAAGATACTTAAAGGTAGCTGCCCATCTGAATTGGGGAGTTAAGATACGGAGAACTCAAAATAGTAGCTAATAAAAGTTTATTCCATTTGACTTTGAAAAGCATTATTTTAGGAAAACAAATATTCTGGAGAATTAAAAGAAATCATAGAGTCACAGAAAATTATTTTCTTTGATGAATTACTGTGAATTAAAATTTGACTATATTGTATAAATTCCTTGATAATTCATTTAGTATAATGTTAAAAGTTGAGATTCTACAACTCATGTTACAATTTGCTTTTCTGACTCTGAAAGCCTTTTAAAAATATTGAAGTAGCAAATTTAAGTTTTTACTTGAAATTCAAATTTTTCTTTGCTAAATGAAATAAGAATTACTGAATAATTAACTTTTTTACTTTAACTGATTTAATTTGAATTTGCATTTTGTTAGTCCCTCAAATTGCTGTGTAGCATATTTTTAGATGGAGGTAAGTGGATGGTAGTGGAAAGAAAACTTTGGTATTAGACACACTTTGGTCACAATTTCTCACCAGCCCTGTGACCTTGAGCAAATATCATGACTCCTGAGGGCCTCAGATAATCACCTGTTAAATGGAGATAATAATATCTATTTTGTAGGATTATTGTAAATGATTAAATGAAGAAGTATGTAAAATTATTAGCATAGTGAGTGGCTCACTGTAGATACTCAGTATATATCAATGTTAGGGTGGAGTGTTTGTGTCGAGCAGGTGTACCTGGGTTTGAGAAAAATTTCTCCAAAGATTAGGATAGAAAGAAGAAGTTTATTTAACTTTCCCAAAGTGAGAAAGGACCAAACACAAGAGAGGAAATGGAAAAGTATGTTGGCAGAGAGAATCAGGTATTTAGGCTTTTTATTTAGGAATTGTAAAACGGGGGAGGTGAAGATGATTTATGGCTGTAGCCAAATTAACAGGGTATTGTGAAGGCTATCTCCCCTCCCTTTCCTCTTAGCAGACAGATAACAACAGAAGTGGCTATCAGATGTCAAAGATCTTGTCTGCAATCTAGCCCTTAAGATAGGATTTTTGGGAGGATCTGAGGCCTGGCATTTGCACCTCTGCTGGCTATCCAGGGGCTTCTCAGGAACACCTTTAGGCTATAGAAACAGATTCTAAAGGCAGTTTTAGTCAATAGGTCTAGCAACTGTAGAAAAGAAAAATTTATGTTTCCTTTTTGTCCGCTGGGCTCCTTTTAGATGCTGTGAAAAAACAGCTCTGCAGGGTACCTGTTAGCTAGGAGGAAAGAGAGCTCATGGGATTGAGCTCTAGCTACCATTAGAAAATTATGGGAATAAATATTTTCCTGTTATTTCAGCAAGGCCACCTTTACAGTCAGGTTTTTAAAAAATTAAAAAAAATTTTTTTTTTTAGAGGTGGGATCTCACTGTCTTGCACAGGCTGATCTCAAACTCCTGGGCTTAAGTGATCCTCCCTCCTCAGCCTCCTGAGTCACTGGAATTACAGGCATGAGCCACCACTCCTGGCTTGGCAATTATTTTAATGTCAATAATCTTTATAGACTATAGCTATGCTTTCAATATTATTCAAAAGTATATTCTAGATAAGTAGAAAAGATTATAGATTTCATATGAATAAAAGTTCTCCCTCAGTTAGGCAAAGGTTTGTAACAGAAGGAATGGCCTGGAGAAAAAAGATTTTCTGTCTTTTTAAAACTTCCTCCACCCTTTTGGGAACTGCAGCCTGGCCTGCAAGCCTGTAGCAGGCTAAGTCTTTTGTTAAAACTCCCAGGTGGTGCCAGCACTGCAGCCCCTCCCCACCCCCCACTGCCCTGGCAGAATTCACAGGCTTTGTTTTTGCCAGAGATGAAACAATTAGAATAGTTAACTACAATAATTGCCTGAGGCCAAGATCCCTGCCTTTAAAAGCTCTATATTTCTGCCTATGTTCAGGAAATATGGAATTTTGAAACCATTAAACATCTACCATATTTCCTCCTTTGTCAGCAAAGTAAACTCTCTTTCCTTCCTCCTCAAACTGCTAGTCTTCATTCTTCTGATTCAGCCTCATGGACAAGGGGCTGAGCTTTCAGTAACAGGTTAATATATGTTGGATGTAGGCCCATACTCCCTTATATGGAATTCTGAAAACATTTTTTTCTAAAGACCTAAAGTTTTCATAATTCATTTGGAAGCAAAATATGACCTGAATTCATTTTGTCAGGTAAATCCTGATCTGAACTTACATGAGGTCTTTATTGCACTTTGTGTAAATTTTCCTGTGTTTCACTATAAAATCAACTAATATTTTATTATGGAGTTCTGCCCCAGTTCCTCCTGGGGGCACATATATTCAGTATATGCTCTATATTACAATCCTAAAATCTAAAAACTCTGAATTGTGAGACATAACTGGCCCCAAAGGTTTCTGATAAGATACTGTGAAGCTGAACTTGGTTTCTTGGCCTGCTATACTCAAGGTTTGTAAAAGAACAAAGGTGAATGGAATAAAACAATCTCACCATTTGTTTAATTGTTTAGAATCCCAGCAGAAGACTGAAGAAGTTTGCCATTTGTACTCTATGGAGCTACGATCTGGCCTTACCATAGAAAAGAGGGCCTGTTACATCAGGAAAAGAACCAGCAAAAGGCCTTCTTTAGGAAAGAACCCACCACAAACAGGTAAGGGGAACTGTATATTCCCTGGCAACAGTGGTGGGTATCTATTCGCATTCACCTACCACATTTAAATATATAATTTTTTTGTCACCCAAATATTCCTTCTGGGAAAGAATAAGGATGATGAACTGTTTTCTAGCCATTTTCAAAAGGGCATATAAAGAGATTTTTTTTTTTTTTTTTTGAGACAGATTCTCGATTTGTTGCCCAGGCTAGAGTGAGTGCCGTGGCGTCAGCCTAGCTCATAGCAACCTCAAACTCCGGGGCTCAAGCAATCCTCCTGCCTCAGCCTCCCAAGTAGCTGGGACTACAGGCATTCGCCACCATGCCCGGCTAATTTTTTCTATATATATATTAGTTGGCCAATTAATTTCTTTCTATTTATAGTAGAGACAGGGTCTCGCTCTTGCTCAGGCTGGTTTCGAACTCCTGACCTCGAGCAATCCGCCCGCCTCGGCCTCCCAGAGAGCTAGGATTACAGGCGTGAGCCACCGCGCCCGGCCAAGAGATTTTAATAGCATGAGAGAAATGGTTATGTTATAATGTTAAGTGAAAACAGAGGATACAAAATTATATATGTTTACAATATTTTAAGTGATTTTTTTTATTTAAAGAAAGTAAACTAAAATGTTAATAGTGCTTGCCTTATGGGTGTTGGGATGAGTTTTCTTCCTCCTGCTCTCCAATGGGTGTGCCCAACTGGGGTGTAAGTGTGCCAAGAGATCCCTTCAGACCATGGGGTGACCAAAGCCCTGAAGTCAGTCACCACTGTCAGCAAGCAGCCTCCACTGGGAATCCTCACAGGGGCATTTGTGCAGAGTGGGGACTGACAGTCCACCTCTATCTCAACCCTGTCCTGCAGGTGGAAAAGAATCTCTGTCATTCACTGCCTATCGACAGCAGTCTACTGTGGAGCATTTTGCCTTTGGTGTGCCTGAGATCCAGAGACATACTAAAAGATTTCATGTTCCAAGGACCACAGGTGTGACTGGTCACAGGGTAGTGTGGGGGTGAGGAGGGAGGTAAGACACAGGACCCTGGCAAGTGCTACTCGAGGTGAAGCCCCAACTCTGTGTCTTCACTTGTATTAGAAACTTCTGTCCATTTGCAGCTGATGTGCCCATTTAATGGTATCCAAACTAGGTGCATGGTAGATGTTCTAGCAATGCATGTGCATTCTATAGTTAGCACTCCATCATTTTGAATGCTTGCTATGGACTATAATCCCATATACATTATTCTTGGTGAAATTATATTGTCCTTTTAACAAAAACATATAATCTGCCCAAATTTCAACATTTTGACCATGAAATAAAAGAAAGAGCTACTATAGTCTCTAGATATAATTTCAACACTTTACGCATTTTATTTTTTTATTTCTTTTCTTTTTTCTTTTTTTTTGACTAGGCTGTATGGTTACAATATGCATTTTAAATAGTAGTTAAAATGGTTTTAAATTTTATCACCTACTTATTCAAAGTTCCAAGTTGATGAGAGAATCACTAAGAAAACATGACCAGGAAATTGAATGTTGCCATTTCAAGTATTATTCCTGATATAAATTCCCAGAAGTAATACTGAAGTTCTTCATTAAGTATTTCTAAATCATTTACTTTGAATTCCATATAAAAATTCAATTTAATATTCTCCTTAATATTTTGTATATTATTTTTTTTTTTTTTTTTGCGACAGAGTCTCACTTTGTTGTCCAGGCTAGAGTGAGTGCCGTGGCGTCAGCCTAGCTCACAGCAACCTCAAACTCCTGGGCTTGAGTGATCCTTCTGCCTCAGCCTCCCGAGTAGCTGGGACTACAGGCATGCGCCACCATGCCCGGCTAATTTTTTATATATATATCAGTTGGCCAATTAATTTCTTTCTATTTATAGTAGAGACGGGGTCTTGCTCTTGCTCAGGCTGGTTTTGAACTCCTGACCTTGAGCAATCCGCCCGCCTCCGCCTCCCAAGAGCTAGGATTACAGGCGTGAGCCACAGCGCCCGGCCTTATATTATTTTTTCTTAGCATAATTCTATAATGTAAAGAAAATATGATTTTTTCTAAGCCCCATATAGGTAGTCCTTAAATCTGCTCCAGATTACCTCATCAGGCTGTAAAAATATTATCATTTTCTACACGTGCTGTGATATTTTAAGAAAAGTTGGGAGCAGTGCACTAAGTTTCCCTGCTATTTAGGCAGAGGATAGAAGAAGGCTCACACCTACATTCCTCAGGACTGTTGGAAATCTCTGAGTGATGCCACACCTTGTAGAAGGACATTTATTTATCCATGCCTATTGAAATACAGTCCCTTCTTTCTCACAGGGCCCAAACCACAGGGAGTCAGGAAGTGGAGGTTTCCTCAAGCAATGTCTATCACTTTCCATCTTCTTCCTCTCCACCAAACCCTCCCATAATATATTACATAGCCTTCCAGGGTCTTTGTGCAGGAGACTAGTACCTTTAAACCCATTCAGGTGTGACACCTCAGCCTTTGAGCTATGTGAAGCTTGTGCCAAAGACTTTCATCTATATAACAATGACAAAGTGTAGCTCAAATTGTTAAAAAAAAAAAAAAAAAAAATCCTTTGAGAAAGCATTTTTTTTTAAGTTGCCAAAAGAATTGTTCCTAACAATAAGTTTTTTTGAATTCTTAATGACAGGAATTTCACCTATTACAGAATCTTTTGCTTCCCTAAGCACATACAATGATCAATCCATTACTTTTGTTTTGGAGGATGGAAGTTATGAGATCTATATTGAAGACTTAAAAAAAGATGACAAGAAAGGTAGAATATTTCCTTTTGTTTATAATGATATAATGATGACTAGTATTTTTACTTTAAATCTACCAAACCATAAACAATGGATTAACTTAGACATGGCAAACAGATCATGCTAACTCCAAAGCCTTGACAGTAGATGACTGAAAATCACTATGTTGTGAAGGATTCAGAAGTGTAATCAGGGTTCATCAGGGAAGAATGTTGATATTGAGAATTGGCATCTATTGTGAGGGGTGAAAGGAGTGACCATATGTAAATTATCCATTATCTGTAAATTACCCACTGATCTCTCCAGCCTTATCAATATCACCAGAGTACAGCTTTCAATAAAAGAATATACCAATGCTATGAACAATATTTTAAATATTTTAATAACTGTGTTAAAGAATTCACCAGAGTACATTCATACATTTGAGACCTTTCCCAAAACACAAAAGTTTTGCTTTTATTGATATATAATAAATGAGGAAGATATTTTCTAATTTTATATGTATGTTGGAACTGAAAACTTTTGATAAAATATTTCACCAAAGGAATTTTATACATTATCTTTCAGAAAAGGTGTTACTGCGTTACTACGAGTCTCAGCGTTCCTCAAGTGAATCAGGTAGTTTGGAGGGCTGGGTAGCTGTAAATTGAATTCTTAAGTTTGGGGTAAAGATAAATCCAAAATCCTCCACAGGAAAAGAAGACAGTCTCAGAAGGTTCTCTCCAATCCAAGCTCATGGTAAAATTGTAGATTCTTAGAGAGTTTACTCCATCCCATCCATCTTACAGTTTAATAATTAGAAAAAAGATTTGGCTACATTTAATAGAGATCCAAAATAACAGTAGCTTAAGCTAGATAAACTTTATTTCTGTCTTTGCCAGGGCTAAAATAATAGTTCTGCTTAATAGGTTGTCCAGAACCTAGCTTCTATCTTGTGACACTGCCTGCCAACATGCATGGTTCAAGATTACTTGCTACCATGACCATGTCCAATCAGCAGAAAAAAGATAGAAGCAAGGATTCTCTTTCTCCTTAAGGGCACAACCTGGAAGCTGTACCTGACACTTTCTCTCACCTCCCATGGTCAGAACTTAGTCTTGTTGCTATACTTAGCCATAAGAAGGCAGGCTGGGAAATGTTCTATTATACTACAAGAAGAGGAGTTGGATATTGGGGGACAACTGTTAGTGGCTTTACATGTTGACAGGGATGCTGATGACCAGAGAAGTGCCCATTAGAGTCACAGTTTCCCAATTAGAAAGCATATAAGAAAACTTAACTTATCTCCAATTGAAAAGTACCCTCTACTTATCCAATGACTCTTTAGTTTCATTTGAGTACAAATATTTCCAAGATACCTTTTGGTGAATGAAATAGTTATTTTAGACTCTTTTCCTGGGTGTTAAATTCATTTAAATAAAGATGAGTTATAATTCTTAATTCTTTATCATTTGCAATTTCTTAATTGTAAGGTGATGATGTCGATGGTAAAATGTTAATGGTAAACCTGGGTCCTCCTACGAAAGACCACTGGCTGCATGCCAACAACAAGGAGCATTCTGTGGAGGTAACAGAAATATGATTCTATAGCTGTCACGATTGACTCCACTCAATTGTGTAGATTTGGGTGTTGGGGTATTTTGCAGGACTTTGTGCTATTGTACATAAAACACAATCAGATACTACTAATGACTTGTTTCTGGAATAGGGAGGGAAATGGCATGTATGGGCTTGCTACTGAAAGTCTGGTCTCTACCAGCAGCACTATATCACCTGGGAGCTTGTAAGAAATGTCAAATTTCAGGCTCCTCCAGAACTTCATCAGAATCAGCATTTTAACAAATATCCAGGAGATTCATACATACATTAAAGTTTGAGAAGCACTGCTATATAGAAGGATATCAAATTCTATTTGGCTTTAGAAACTACTATGTTCTTCTAGGAAGTGTTTCTTTGTATAATATAGTTGTCTTAAGCAAATGCAAAAATAATTACACACTCTGAGCCTGCTTAAGGGAAGGTCATAAACATTTCCATGTGCCAAGATTTACAAATAGCCTAATAATCTGCATTCCCATCATAGGATTCTGATCATGTCATATTCTTCTTTAGTTAGTAAATAGCATTATTATATTGGTCATAATGAATAATTACAAATATCTTGAGGAACAAATATAAATATCTTGAGGAACAAATAAGCCAAAGGTAGAGACAAGAAAGAAAACAGGAGAGTATAATATAGAACAGTGGTCCCCAACCTTTTTGGCACCAGGAACTGGTTTCATGAAGACAATTTTTCCCTAGACGTGGGGGTGGGGTAGTGACAGAGCTCAAGCAGTGATGCGAGCAATGGGGAAGGGAGTGACTATAAATACAGATGAAGCCTATATGTCTGTAAGTACATTAGGGATTGACTGATCTAGAAAGCTAGCTAGACTGAAAAACTGAGGCTGAGGCATGAGAGGTAAAGCAAAATGCCCAAGATAGTACATGTCAAAAGAGGATACAAATCCAGAACTGCTGCATGCAGATCTGGTCATTCTAAGCCATACTGCCTCTCTTTGTGAATAAAATCAAATCCACCCCTTACCTCTTTGGCTCCCTATTCACTTCTTCCTCCCTCCCCTCCCCTAATCACTAAGCATGCTTGCTAGAGATAACAACTCAAAAATAATTATTTCCTTTTAGTTTCTAATACAGGGTGGTAAAGTTGACTCTGAACTTCCCATTCACCTACTGATCATGTTCTTTCTTGTTTCCTCAGCTCCATAAGAGTGAAAAACCATTGCCGGAGCAGGCCTTCTTTGTCCTTCATAAGCAGCCCTTCAAATCTGTTTCATCTGAATGTGTTTCATTTGAATGTAAGAACTATCCTGGAACATATCTAGGTGTAAAGGATAATCAACTTGCTCTAATTAAAGTAGACTGTTCTGAGAGTTTGAGTAGTGAGAATATCATGTTTAAACTCTCTAAAACTTAATGTGATGGAAAGCTGTGGGTCTTGGATTGGGTAGCCCAAATGCCACCCACTGGAGAAGGAATGAGAGGTAAAGAGATGGGCAACATGCAAGGGAAATTGAGAGTGCTTAGCATGCTATGGAATGTTTTCTTTCTTATGTAAAAATATTTTTTTCTTGTCCTTCAGTTCTGTTTTGTATTTCCCTCTGTATAACTGCATATTCAATACAAGCATCAATGTATTAAGTAGAGTATTGGCAAAGAAACTGCAAACATACAGTTTGTAGAAAGAAAGAACTTCATATTTAGAGCTGAGACCTTTGGGGAGAGTAAGGGCAACAGATCAAGTCTCTCTTTAGACAGGGATCCATTTTAAAGAGCTACATAGAAAAATCATTTTCCCTGGTTCCAAACAACAGGCTCAAACAGTAGACCTGCTAGTAAAAGGAAGACCAGATACAAGATAGATTGACCATTTCTCAACTGGAATAAAACACCAACTTTGTTAGCCAACACTCAGATCAGCTCTCTCTTACTCTAAGGGGTTATGGAACTTTGAATGCCTACATGGCTAGCCAGGTAATATAAATGTGTGAAAATACAACAATAGAAAAATTAAGAAAAATAAATCCAGTATTTGTAAAGTGAATAATTTCATTACTAATTCTTTCATTTTTAAAATTCTGGTTTTACATACTGAGTTTAAGCAAGGAATTCTTACATTAGGAAGTAAAATAAATTTTAATTCAGACATAACATTTTATTTATTGAGAATATCTAGCAAATTAAAACATTAAAAAAAAATACTGAGCTACAATATATTTTAGGGCACCCAAGTACCATGGAATCCAAGTACCATAGTGAGACCAGAAGTCTTCTAACCTACTAGAGCCTAGATGAACTACAGAACTAACATTAAAATTTCATCAACTCACGGACCCTCATATCTGTGGCATACTATCTCTTCTGACTCTGTCTTTGATGTACTACTCACTGTCCCCTTGGACTAAGTTTCTTCTAATTCTTCCTATGTACACAAGTCTTTTCATTGTCCAGCTTCCTGAAGCCCCTGCTTACTGTGGAATATTCATTTCACTTCTGTTTCTTCTCCATTTCTTTTGACTAATCTTGTCCTTGATATAGGCTTTGCACCCCCTGGGCTTTATTCCTATATCACCTGACCTTTGGATGCCAATACCATTATTCTGCTTTGTCTATCTGATATTGTAGAATTTTAGATAAACCTATTAATGGAAATATTTTCTGTTGAATATCTTTGTGTTTTACTGTTACTAAGGTGGTAAAATTTATACTCGTTCATATAATAACTTTTTTAATTATTAAAGGAATATTTTTTGCTTATTTTAAAGCCTTAACAATTTCTACTACAGTTTTTCTTAGACTTAACATTTACAATATCATACCTGTAATCTTAGCACTCTGGGAGGCTGAGGTGGGAGGTTGGCTCAAGGTCAGGAATTCAAAACCAGCCTGGGCAAAAGCAAGACCCCATTTCTACTAAAAATAGAAAGAAATTAATTGGCCAACTAAAATACAGAAAAAATTAGCTGGGCATGGTGGTGCATGCCTGTAGTCCCAGCTACTCGGGAGGCTGAGGCACGAGGATTGCTTGAGCCCAGGAGTTTGGGGTTGCTGTGAGCTAAAGTGCCATAACACTTTAGCCTGGGCAACAGAGTGGGACTCTGTCTCACACACACAAAAAAGAAAAAATCCACTTACAATAAATGTTAAACATAATAACAGAATACTTAAGAAATATGGCCTTTTCCGAAAGTGTGGGCTTTGTAGTTTTTAATTTGTTGAAACCTACTGGATATAATTGCTGATAGAATATAAGATAAAAGAGGCTAAGAATTACTATACAAGGGTCTTACAATTATAAAACAATGTATCTTTGTTTCATTACTTTGCCAATAGTTTTACCAAACAAAAATAAAAGCAGCATCTATATCATCCTCTCTGAAAAAAAACTAAATATTGACCATGTACCTCTGTTTATACTTAAAATTATTATTCGATAACCAAATATATCTATGCTGTTTATATTCTTAAATAAACTGTATTTTTCAAAAGTATGTGAGACAATAATGATTTTATCATAAAATGACTTGATTTTCTGAAATTCTTAAGTGAAAGTAAGCATACCCCAATCCACCAATGTTGGTGTCTGAAATAGGGCATTTCTCTGATATTTTTGGCGATTCAAAACTAAGTAAGGTTTTCAAGTGAAGGGATTGTGTGTTTTTCACCTCTGTATTCTCAGTGCTTATCATGGATGCTGGCACAAAGGAACTGTTCAGCGACTTTTACCCAAGATTAAACAGCCAATATTTAACTGCACCAGAACTTTGACCTGAGACTTTTGACTCCTTATTTAGATACCTTTAAACTAGGCTAACTTATTTTCTGTGTTTCATTTTCCTTTTTTAAAAAATACTTTCCACCATCCTTACAGTCAAGGTAATTTGATTAAAATATTCACACATGTGATAGCAGTTTGTCACATGCATCTGTTTAGATGGCCTATAACATACATTACTAGAAGGAACTTGTTCATTTTATTGTATCAGAAATAATAATTGTGTCAAAACTTACTTTCCCTTATTTTATTTATATTCTTAGATTTTTATGTATGTATTGGATACCTTAAAATATTGTCAAGAAAAGTTTATTTGAATGAGTAAAGTGACTTACGATTAGGGAAAAACTGAATTCAGAGTTGAGATTGAAGGGGGATTTGAAGAAAAAAATGCAAATCTAATTAGAAAACAGCAGCTTGATTTAAATCTAAAATGACTGGTTTATATGACTTATATAATCCCCACTTCTGCAGAACAAAATAAGCCAAAAATAACAATTTTCAATCTTTGTGCTTCATATTGAGAAATTTCATGAAACAGAGAGAAATCTCCAGTTGGAATTGGAGTAGGCTCCCACAACTCCTTCTTCCCTCATATTGTTACTCTTACAGCTCAAAAAATCTCATCTTCTGCTGCCAGGTGTGGTGGCTCATACCTGTAATCCCAGCACTTTGGGAGGCTGAGGCAGGAGGATCACTGAAGGCCAGGAGTTTAAGACCAACCTGGGCAACATAACAAGACCCTGCCTCTACAGAAAAAAATTAGTCAGGCACAGTGGCACATGCCTATCGTCCCAGCTACTCCTACTCCAGAAGCTGAATTGGGAGGATCGCTTGAGGCCCAGATTTTGAGGTTACAGTGAGCTATGATAGCACCACTGCACTCTAGCTTGGGCAACAGAGTGAAGACCTTTCCCCCCTCCCCCCAAAAAAATAAAAAAGAGAAGAGAAGAGAAAAGAAAATCTCATCTTCTAGCAGTTATTCATTAAATACTGCCATATTATATATACTGAACTATGCTAGGCATCATGAAAGCACAAAAGAAACCTTAGCTATACTCCTTGACCACATGGAAATTAAAACATGTACAATATGTATTAAAACTCCAACTCCATAGTACACAGTTGCACATAGGTAAGAGAGATCAGTGTGGGTGTGTAATCAGAGAAAGAAATAGAACTGAATTCTCTATCTCCATACCTTAATATCTACCCTTGATATATTCTGATTTTTTTCTTTTTTTTTTTTGTATTGTGTTTTTAAACTGGAAATGTTTTGTCTATTCTTATATCCATTCTCAAGGTCATGTTAAGCAGGTTTCTTCTGTAGGTCTCAGGCAAAAGGGATAAATTCAGTTGTTCCAGCCCCCTTAGTAGTCAATGTTGGGCCTAGGAGGGTTAGGAATCTAAGGAATGGCTAAAGAGAAGAAAATGAATACCAGTTGGTAATGATAGAATCAATGAGCTATTTCCTATTAAAGTGCCAAGAATGATGAAATGCTTATCCAAGTCAATTACAGTCTCTAGGTCAGAGGATACTCCCATAAAAAGAATGCATGAAACACTGTCCAGGATGTTAAGAATACAGGCTTAGTTTACTGCTTATTGGATGTGCAACTTCAGCAAGGTATGCAACCCCTTTCAATCTCTGTTTTTCCTCAGTAAAATAGGAAATACCAAATATTGCAGTTATCTATCTAAAATCTATCACCAACACCCCTATTTCTTCACCTATAGACCCTCATTCTTTACCAGGCAACAGTGAACTCAACTAAAAATATACTCTTTCCCAGATTCCCATGCAGCTAGATGTGGTAACCATTTGACACGGTTTTAGACAAAAATATATAAACAGAATATGACTTAAGAAAAATTTCTTTTAAGTGAACATATCATATCTGATAGCATGGCCTTTTTCAGTCTTTTACCTTCTCTTCCTACCTGGGCCATAGACATGAGGCTGAATATAGAGAAGCCAGCTTCTAACTACAAAGCCATGAGCTTGGAGACAAAGAACTACACATTTAAAAATGGCAAGAGGGAAAGTTTAAAGAACCCTGGTGTAGTGAGCAAATATTTGTGCTATACCCAAATCCCCTTGGATTCCTTTATACTGGATTCCTTAATACTATTTCCATGTGTACCATATAACTATACTACCAGAATCTTCTGTGTGCTTTCAGTATCCAACACCTGCAGCTCTTCTTACAAGGATTGCCTTTACGGTACTGATGTTGCTTTTGCCCTTTTGCACAGAGATATGAATGTGTCTTTGAGTTGCATCCTCCCACCAGACTCACAAGGCTTTTGAAAGCCTAGCTCCCTTGCCTTGGGTGGAAGAACTGTTTTAAATTTTACTCAAAAACTCTCTCATGGGGTTCGTGCTGAAGTTATTCTCTGCTGGACTTTAGCATGTGATCACATTCTTACTTAGATTCCTTTCCCTGCCCTGCCCCACCCTGACTCCCTTGTCAGTTTTTCTTGGAAACACTTCCTTAGTAAATTATATCCACATAATCCTTAACTCAGTGTTTGTTCCTGGGGTACCTAATGTAAGACACCAGGTCATATGTGACATTATAGAGCTGCCATACTAGTCGTGTAGTACTAACTGCAAACTTCATGTTGAGAGAGAAAAATAAACCTATGTCTGCTTAAACTAGTCTTGGGTTTTTCTATTGAATGTGACTTAAAGCAAACTTCACCCACAGAAGAGATTAGGGTAAAAGCTACTTCTGAGGCACTGATAAGAATTGCCTTGCACAGAGCAAACAATTAGTGAAAGTTAGCTTAGAAAACAGACAAACCTGACTGATAATAAGAATAATTTTTCTTAGGTACAATTAGAACATTGAAAGACACAATCAAATGCCTCTACAACTTTAAGAGAATTTACCTTCTGCAAGATAAAGTAGGAGTTGGGGGTGGGTGGGATCAGAATAGACAAAATATGGCAGGTATTGAAGTAAATCTACAAAGGTCATAGGTATTTATTTATACGTCTTAACCTACAAGTAAGTTATATATATTCTTTCTTATGTGCCTTAGTCCATTCAGGCTGCTATAACAAAACACCATAAAATCAGGTAGTTTGTAAACAATAAAAATTTATTTCCCACAGTTCTGGGAGCTTGGAAGTCCAAGATAAAGGCACCGGCAGATTCAGTGTCTTGTGACGGCCTGTTTCCTAGACAGCCATCTTTTTGTTGTAACCTTATGTGACCAAAGGGGCTACCTAGCCTTTCAGGGTCTCTTTTATATGGGCACAAATCCCAATCATGAGTGTTCCATCCTCATGACCTAATCACCTCCCAAAGGTCCTGCCTTCTAACACCATCATCTTGGGGGTTCAGATTTCAACACAGGAATTTTGAGGGGACACAAACATTCATATCATAGCAATATTTATCAAATATTACATTATAAGTATTAAAAAGTTTAATATAAAAATGTTATAAATTACCATTATTAGTAATAAGAGATTTGACATCAGTAAAGATTTTAAAGATATTAAAATAATA